ATTTTCAGTCATTACTTTTTGCGTGATTCCAGTGACATCATTTGAAAGCATTAAAGTGAATGACTGGAATAACTCTTTGAATGGAAAGGTGTTTCAGCAGTTGGTAGAGCTAACTCCAAATCCAATTCTAAATATCACCCTTATCCAACCAGAAAACAAACACCACCTTCCCCGATCAATGTGTCTGATCAAATGGGGACGCACTCCCCTCTAAGCAACACACCTGAAAAGTTAAATACTACATGCTGCCAAGGAAAGAATAAAGTACCTGTGGGCAGTTTGTAAGTAAAGCTACATTCATTGGCTAGCTTATTCAGTATGATTACTTTAGTTTTCTTAAAAATATGTACATTCACAGCTCTATGTTCATCTAAGCAAGCTCATTTTGCCCTCCCAACATAAATTATAATTTGCATGAATGCCTTTGTGTATATATATATATATACATATACAAAACAAAATTGATTTATTGATCAGGGTCATCAGTAATTGTCAGGCAGCATGTTGGAGTTTAACATATTGCTTACTTAGTTCATGCACACACACATGCAAATCAATAAACTGCATCTGTTAATATTACATATGTAAACCTCGATGTGTTTAAAGGTATGTACTCACACTTACATACACATCCATAAAATAAAATGTGCAAACAGACAGTATATGAATAAGCATAAACATTTTTAAAAAAGTGTAATGTGTATTTGAATCCATGTATGAACAATACAGCTCCAACAGTATATGAAAACAGTTTGAAGACAGGTGTAAAAAGCACCTGTGAGGAAAAATAAAAATCTATTTTTCTTCATTTTAAATGTTTGTTAAATGTTAATGCTGATATTCTACTCCTTGGAAGATCATTTCTCTGCATGTGGAATTTCATGATAAAAAGCTTTAAAGTCACGGCTTTCTCGAGATAAGCCCCACTGGCTTACTGATGCATGAATGCACTGAAATTGAATTACTGTACAACAGCAATTACTTCTCACAGCACAGTTATAATGAGAATCAGCTCCACAACGAACACCAGGTAGCTACGGTAGAAAGTTAATAAAATATTCTTTAATTTTTATTTTCCACTGTAGCGGTGGTAGTTACCTGAAAGAAAAATAATCCTTAACATTTGATTCACCATCTTAGAAGTAAATCAACAACCATTTTTATAGGATCCTCTTTTCTTGAAGAATGATACTATTGAAAATGAAAATTTAGCTACCTAGCTAATTAATTTTGGCTTTTAAAAAAATAAATAAATCCCTAGCAATTTATATTTCATACTACTATTTTTCACTTCCCTCTTTTCTTTGTCTTTTTTTTTATTCCTATGACAGCATACTACTTACCACAAAAAAAAATTTGAAAAAAATAAAAACAGCGAATGAACAGTTTTAATTCTACCTCATTTCTGCCACTAAGTTTCTTAAAATAGACCTTTGTCTGTAAGCACCATGCCATCGTGCTCTATTCTCTTCATTTTCCAATGACTGGAGACAGTCATGATACCTCCTAAAAATCTTACAATAAAAAAACCTCACAGCTAACTTTACATTAAGTCTGAGCAAGCCCATTTCCCCTGACTGAAATCAGTAAAAGTCCAGGAAAGATGGCTGAAGAAATATCACAAGTGACATTGGACTGCACAATGCTTTCCAACTGATTACTTGGGTTTGGCTGTAAAATTAAACCTACTGCCAAACAACTCAGGAAATATTTCCACTTGTCCCACGTTATGGGCAGTAAGACTTTTTTCCCCAATCAGAATGCCGTAGTTTTACCTCTGCATTTGCCAGTTATAACCAAAGGTAAGCGTTAGCAATCTGGAATTAAAACCATTAAAACCAATTCGTCCACGGTATTAACACAAACCCTGTCACAAATATTTAAAAATGAGATTTGCAAATTGCCTGTCTGAAATTTCATTAAGTAGGGCAGTGCTAGGAAGGAAACAGTTAACAGGAATATCCTGATCTGACATAAATCTAATGTAAATAGTGAACACTGGGAGTAGGGGGAGTTGCTTGCAAGGGTTTCCATCAGTAAGTAGATGACAAAAGGTTACATAATTGGTTTAGCACTTTCAGTTTTCCATTTATTTTATGTATCTGACAGCACAAAAATAGGACATTCTGTGATAGGATAATTGCATTGTGAAGGGTAATTCAAATGGGATGAATATGATAAAAATCACACTGAACCAACTAATCACTATGAAAAGCGATGAGACAAAGATAAAAATTCAACCATAAATGAGTAGGAGGGAGAAGAGAATCCAGTAGTGATTAGTACCTCAGAACAAGTTAATGTGTTTGAAAGTAGAAAGCAAAACAAAACAGAAAACAAAACAAAAGAAAAAAAAGAAAGAAAAAAAGAAAGCAACAAAAAAATGACCTTTCCATGCCATGCTATTTCTGTATCTCCTAATCTTTCTTGTTGACCTATTTCACAAATCAAACATTCTGTATGACTGCAGCTTCCTGAAATGTTGTCAGATTTTGCTGCATATGCTAAAAGCTGAGAAAGTGCAATGATTAAAGTGCCTCATTTAAAAAGTATTTTACACTACACTACGGATTATGATCTACCTGTAGCTAATTCAACCAGTGGTCTGGAGTGACACACATTCCTTCTCAATCGTTGCCCCACATTTCTAAGGCTGAATGATATTTAAGAATCATAGAATAGAATGGCCTAGGTTGAAAAGGACCACAATGATCACTGAGTTTCAACCCCCCTGTTATGAGCAGAGTCATCAACCATCGGACCAGGCTGCCCAGAGCCACATTCAGCCTGGCCTCCAGAGATGGGGCATCCACAACCTCCTTGGGCAGGAGTTGATCTTCATTTGCTACTTACCGGATATTAACCCCTAATCATCTAAAAGATTAATCTAATCTCTAGGTTTCAGTGCTCAGAACATTTCCACTCAAAGTTTAGGTCAAAACTCTACCGTATTAGAAGCAGAAGGATTCAGCACAGCTTTGTCTTACTGTAGAATAGGTCTTAGTCCTATATATGCTTTGCAATTCCCTTCTCACTTCTACAGGCATAAGAAAGTGAGCTGTAATGTGCCAAAGAAATAATCTGGTCAAAACTTATCAGGACAAAAAATAGTAAATTCTATTGTCAAATGGAATTCTTGCAGGTTTTGAACTTATTACCAGAGCGTGGGCAGTCACCCATTCCATCTCTGACTCCCACAAAGAACCACCTCAGATGAGCCCTGTCTTGTATTTCTGCAAAAAGTAACTTTCCTGAAAGATATGCTAGAGAAATTAACTTTAAAATGAAGCATCCCTGTTCAAACCAAGCTTCTAAATGCGTTTCCAAAGATGGAAACTGTCCTAAGAACATTCTAGATATCAGTCGGGTTATTTTGGCACTGAAGTTTGTTTAGATAGCACTATCCAAGTGCTTTAAGATTTACACAGAGCACAATAGCCTATATTGGTGCAGGAAGCTTTGGTTGCTTATTTTCCTCCCTGAGGAGTGGAAAAACTCCATCTATGTGAAGAGGCCAAAGCAGCTCTATACACTTCACCACCATTGGAAAACATTCATTATAAAGCTGTAACTGAGAGAACAAGTGCTCTTCCCCGCAGTGCTCCACACCTATAGAAAAGGTGTTCTCTTCCACTCTACACAGCTTGCTGTCACTTCTAGCTCTAGAGGATCACTGCTCTAACACCTGGACATTTTTACAACATCAGGGCACTAGTTTTCTCTAGAGAATACGGAAAACCATCCCTATATAACCAGTGTACCTCTGAAGGCAACTTGCAGGCTTCTGGAAGCTGTTGCATGTACCTTAAAGTGCAGTTTTCCCTCTGAAAAACAGAACATTAAAATGGCACTGTGGGGTTTCCATGTTTTTTTGTCTTTCTTTGCTTCCCTGCCAAGTATGCTCAGCTTACAAGCTGAAATATGTTTTAGTTTGCTGCCAACCCAGAAAATTCAGCCTCTAAAAGAGCACCAAATTCCTTCCTCCCTTTTGCACTAAAAATAAAAATGAAAGGCTGAATTGTATTTGCAGCTACGCAAATGGAATTCCCTTCCTTGGGTGATGCTTTTAGCTTCACAGTTTAGATGCTGAGACCTCCATCTCAACTGAACAGACATATGACCAAAAGCAAGGTAGATGACAGCACGGAGCATCACCACAGCAGATTGTCAGCTCATTGACACTGCTGATACAACAGGAACTACAGCTATAGGCAGCCACCTAAATTTCAAAGAATAATGTAAAACGAAGAGTAGAACAGGAATACCTGATATTCTTTAGGAAAGTGTAACAAAAAATAAAATAAAATAAAATAAAATCCTATTTAATGCAGAAGAACACAGGTGTGAGACTTTTTCCTTTTTCTACAGTAAATCTAATAAAATACTGAGCACAAATAAGGTGTCAGAATGGAGTTTAAAAAAAAAAAAAGAAACAACAAACTACTCAGGCCTGCAGAAGTACATACAGTAGGTAGCTACTGTAGACTGTTGATAAGTTGCCTTTACAGCTATGTACTACTTACCACAAATAAAAGAGTTTGGGGTTCATTCCCATATGAAGCATTTTCAACTTTTTGTTTATTTGATCTAGAGAACAGCTATTGAAATCAGAAGTTTCTCCCAGTAATATTTTTGTACTAGAAAGCAATAATATGAAGTCTGCTTTGGTTTGATTATGTGAATTCTAATATAATAATGCACAACCATTTGTAATAGATATATTTTACCAAACACAAGTGATAGCTTACCAATCCATATGGGAAACAGGTAGTCCAAACCTTGCTACACACTTTTGTGTTTATCTATTGATGCTATAAAACATTTATATATATTCTCTGGAGAACTGATTCTAAAAATATTTCCACATTAAAAATACTTCTAAAAAAACTTTAGTGTTTCCATTCCATTTTCAACTGCTTGTACATCTTCCAGAGCAGAGCCTAAATTCCATGCTTAGTTTGACATTAGAGAATGAAATATCAGACAGCTCTGCTGCTTACCCGCACAGCTTCAGACTTTTTATGAAACATTTCTTCCATATTCTTTGCTAACTTTTTCACAAGCTGAAGGCCGTCGATTTCTTCTATTGCAACGTCTTTCTCATATTCTTTGTATTTCTGAGGGAAGAAATGAAAAAAAAAAAAAAAGAGTTAAGGAAAAAATTATTCAAGGAACCAGTTGAAATTTTGACAACTAATGATTGGTTTCTTTTATGCTGTTGCTGATATTCTCTACTTATTTGATGTTTATTTGTTGACAGAATGCTGCTAGGCAGAAAGACACTGACATTCAGAAGAAACAATGGGGTTAGTATCAGAACTCTGCTAAGAAAATACAATAGAAATATTTATGCTATGCATAGTAGGAATATATTTTCCTTCACAACAGTTAAATTACCCCTCCAGACAACCAAACATCAAAATATTGAAGAAAAAAATCTCTGTATTCCATTCTAAAGTATTTTAAACCAATGATACACATATGTCTTCGCCATTTAGAAACCTCCTTCACCAATGAAGATCCTGCAAATATCTATTTGATGTGGTTTACAAAATCCTTAGATTAGGAATACTTACACTATAAGCATGTCTACATGTCCTTAACTTTCCTTGCAAGGAAAACCCGTCAACAAACCACGGAAATATGTGCCCTTATTTGAATGCAAAGCATCATTTGCACAATATGGATGAGCATTAACTTATGGTCTCTTTCACAACATAACTCTTAGACTGAAAATACATTCAATTTTTATCCTCTTTATTTTCTGCAAAACAACCGTTTTTTTAATCAGTGTTTATAAGTGAACCTTGTAAGAATATAATGTACAAAAAAAAAGTGTAATATTCTCTGGAGCCAAATTTCAAAGTGTTTAATACAGAGACTGTTTCTCCTACTCACGTTCACTCCACTGTATTTTTACTCTAAGTGCCGAGACAGTAATATTAAGTAAATTCATGAAGAACATTTGCCTTTGCAATAATGATTTCCTCCAAAACATATGCAACATTAGAGAGAAGGAAGAATAAGGAGATAGAAGAAAAATGGCTTAAAGCATCAGGACAAACATTTTAGTGATCAAAACAATGAGCAAGGACCAGTCATGTCCTGGCAGGTGACAGAAGAAAGGAATTTACTGTAAGAGAATTCCTATGCATATTGTTCTCATTTCTTTCAACTAATTTTCAAGGCAAATGACACTTTGAACCAGCTTTAATCTGAATACTTATCTGTAAAAGCTTGCATTCATGTTTTGATAGGAAAATTTGATAAAATATCATTTGCAGACTATGCCATAAGAAGGTTAACAATGTCATCAAAAATATTTAGGATATTGAATTTTCATATTCTGTAATTTTCCTATTCCAGTAATTAATTTATTTACTTTTACATTGCTTCCTACTATGAGATTATTTTATTTCAGACTTTAATATTAATCTTGTAATATTTATGAAGCCTCAAGCAGACTGCCTGCATTTTGTTCTTTGGAGGAAAGCAGGATGATTTTTTTTTTTCCCCCTTTCTAGCTTTTTTCTTCCACATGCCTAAAAACATTTTTATTTCAACTCTGCAAGTCCACTACTAAATTCAGCTCAACTCCTATAATCCATTCTGAAATACAGATAGGTAGACATATAGGATAGCATGGTGATTTGTCTAAAATAAATTAATCTTTTTTTGCGATTATTGGAGAAAACAACAGAATGCAGTAAACAACAGGGAGGCAAATATTACTGCAATGAAATGTGATAAAATGGACTAGATTAACAGTAAATTGAAAACACTCCCAGTTAATTAATGATCTCAAAGTCTGCTCATGTCCTACAGGATTAGAAGCTTTGGAGAATATAAAACAAGTGACAAAACGCACTGCTATGAACATCATATTTATTATGTCAACAGACTAAGTACAAATTTGACTCATTTATTTCAAGCTGCACAGGTCATGTTCAACATATCAGAGTCTGATAAAAACTGCTCCCTGCAGTATTGATCTTTGAATTCTTAGAAAGTATTCTAAAATACATCCCTTCAAGAGGCTGTTTACAGGTCTCCAGTTGTATTGATTTAAGCTTTGCCGTTAAGTGGAGAAAATCAGATTATTCACTGCATTTGTTGGAAAATTACGTTTTAGAATGAAAGTCAACATTTTCTAGCCACAGAGAATTGCATCATATAGTATCTTAGGTTACTGAGGAAACATATTAAAAACTCAAATTTCTCAATTTTGAGTAACTTCTGTTATTTGATAATTAACAAGTCGTTTCCATTCAAAATAAGTGTGATACTACTCAGTACATTGATTCATTTTTCCCTAACTTAAAGCCAAAGTTCCAGCATTAAAAAAAATATATAGGGGAAGAAAGAGATATTGTTTAAATTATAACAACAAAAGACCACACATCTTGCATAGTGCTCATCCAGCCAATTGTAGGAAAACTTAAAGAGCAATTGCAACAAGCCAGGAGTATTTACTTGATCTGCAAGACTTTGGCAACTGAGGTGTTTACTTAATATGTATTTTATATTCAGAATTTCATTGCCATAAAAACAATTCTGTTATTTATTCAGCCATCAGTGGAAGGTTCAAAGACAGCAGAAATGATGTGGCCAGAAAGAACAGCAGCTGGTTTTAGAATTCTTTTGCTCTAGTGACTGTTCATGGAGGGAAGAGGTGCCAGCTTCATTCGTGCGTATCCATGAACCTCCTCTCAGTACTGAATGTTCTGGAAGATGGTAATTTTGTTTGAGTCTAGAAAGATGCTGACCAACAAAAGTATGAACACAAGAAATCTAAATCAAAGCAGATATGAAAAAACCAACACAATAAATCTGCGACAAAAAAAAGTCATTAATAATGGATCCTCTTCCTCCCACCACTCCTACTGCTGTCTGATCTTCAGGGTTTCATAGTTTTCTTGACACTACAATTTAGAGTATACATTTGCTTTTAATTTAAATAAATTAGCTAAAACAATGCAGATGTTCACTCAAAATAAATTCAAACAAATTTTAAAATACAGTTATTTTATTTTAATGTAATCCTGAAAAAAACAATTGCAATTTTACTGGCACAGTCCCAAGGAAAAAACTACTGGGAAAATGCTGGTGGAAAATACTCAGCTTTTGGCCTGGGTTATCCTTTATATTGCTTAGTTGCAAACTACCTTCATACAGTCACTCTGAATAACTCTTTCAAACAATGTTTTAAATCAGCCATTTTCTCTCCTTTGTCAAAAATGTAAACTAAATAACTGATTTTTCCACAAAAATGTATCAAAAGTTAAAGTCATGGTTGGACATTTCTTTCGATAAGCAGTCTTCCAGTTGTCAAGAAGACTGAGCAGATACAACTAAGCAACTTCTGGTTTGTTTCTTTTTGTTAGCAAAATCCACATTTGCTAAGAAATTCTCCACAGAGACATGAACATTCATCATTTGACACAGCAGACAAAAAATAAGTTATTTCTGCAATATCTGTTTTGCCACATCATTTCACATAAGTACCAGGCAAAGACAGACAGCACTTCACTGTCAGAACTTCTAATGCTGTTCATGGATTTAGTTTAGGGGTCTTTTTTGTTTTGTTTTCCTTCCTCCCCCCACTTGCATGGTAAGCATTCATCTAAAATCAGCATACCATAAAGGAGTCCACACGAAACGCATGTCTGAATCACTTATTGCAATCCAAGCATTTGGCACTGAAGTATAACAAACGCCAAATAAACAATAACAACATTAATTATGATTTAAATTAAAAAAATGCAGATTGAGTGAATAAGAAGGAAAAGAAATACTCTCTTGAAGAAAGACAACTTCAGAAAGATACCACAGATCAGCTACAGTTTGAATTATTTTCTTCTGGGACAAATGTGATAATTGTGTTCCTGTTTGTATCTACCTATAAACTTTTATCAAAATCCTGATAATTGTGTTGTATGCCAAAACATTTCAAGTTACTAACAGGTGTGTAAGCAGCTCTCAGCATCACTCTTTGTACATGTGGGTACTTTGAACACAGGCAGAACCATCTATGATGAAAAGTCCTCCCACTCCCAGTGATCTTCAGAGGAGGCAAATATCACCACCATCCTGATTAAAGAAGTATATTTACTCAACGCCAACTCTATAATAAGCCTTCAAAAGCAATCTGTGTTGCATATTTAGGAATGGATATAAGCCTCTGAGAAGTATTCATAACTATATCTCACATATTTGTACATAATTATAAATGTGGCTATTTGAGATAGTGTTTTTGTCACGCATACATTGCAGGTTGATATATGAGTGCATTATTATTTTATAAAGGAAAAGTAGAACCAACATGCAAATGAAAGTTGAACTATACATTTCAATCGATCACTTCCATGAAAAAAAAAAATGTTTATTCAATGTCATTCATAAAAAACACAAACCAAAAACACATTCAGATGTTCAAGTCTCAAAACTTCAAATGTAAAATGAGATTATAGAAACACACACACAAAGCTCACATTGAATTTTCTATGTTTTCCTCATATAAGAATTTTTGAAATGCATGCTGTTAACTCTACTGAACAAAATTTAAATGGCATTTATTCAGGGTGCTTTAAAACTCTTACTCATTTTTTAGTTATTTTGCTTTTAGTCATAAAACTCCAACCCCACCATTACTGTGGAGCAGACTGACAATGTAGTTGCACTATGTGCTGCCTTCCACCATTAATAATTCTACGGAGGATAGAGGAGATATGAACAGAGACACAAACTTGGAGAGCTCAGGAAAGCTCAAATCTTCTGTCACTTGAGCTCTTGCAGTGCTCTTTCGTACTAGCACACAACCGCTCTGTATGTAAGAGCTCACAGAGCAATTTCCTGCAGATGATTTAAAAAAACAAAGCATAGTCTTTAAATCCTTCATTACAAGTGAGGGGTCACTAATTAAATACGTACTGTTTGAGTAAACCTGAATTTGAAGCCAATGAAATAGCAGTCTCCAGAATTACATGTGCATGAGTGTGGGAATCTGAGCATTTCCACTGAGCAGAAGGGTATTCAGATGGTACTACTACAGCAGAGACATCAACTACAGATGGTGCACTCCTTTGATAGACTCATCTGTGAATCTCTCCTTAGTAAA